TTCTCATAATATTCCATCCACTCATATTGCCAAACCCTTCTCATAATAATATTCCCATCCACTCATATTGCCCTATCCTTCTCATAATATTCCCATCCACTCATATTGCCCAATCCTTCTCATAATATTCCATCCACTCATTTTTCCCAATGCATGTCAGTTGTGTGGCTGTATTCAATATAGATACGCTAACGTTTAGATTGTCATATATTCTTTACTATTCTAACCATTACAGTTTTCCTGTCGGACTACTCGACAATAAAATACAAAATAATAAACAGCATGGCAACGACCAGCATGGCAACGACCAGCATGGCAACGACCAGCATGGCAACGACCGTACAATGCAACTCACTCACAATTTGTTATCACTTCTTGCATTGTATTTTTACTGATTTATTGCATGTAATCCACTCCCTGCAGCTGACGAGGTTGAAGCAACAAAGGAAGGTTGTTTTAATGCCAAATAATTCTAAAAAGTATGAATTATATTTATAGAAGTATTTATATAAGTATGTTGAATTCGAAATAAACATGTAAAATGAAAAGTACATGACAAAGTGGAAAGTTTACTAATGTTATTAAAATTATCATTTAGTTGACCACGTGTACATTGACTTTACACATACGTCAACATATATGGCACGTATACGCCGGTACGATTCCTTGTCGACGTCACATTCCATCAGACATTGATTACATCTACAATCGGAGTACAACTTAACACTGTTACAATATTTGAACATCATCTGGGATCGCCTCTGAAAAAGAAAAACATATAAATTAAAAATTAGAAATAGCCTTAATCAAATATATTTACTGAATTATGCCAAAGATTGCCCACTATTCTCCTACAACAAGGAATGAACTTACAAGCGCCGCCGAAAATTTGGGATGTAAAGTAGTATGTTTTGCGGGTGGGGGCGTACATAAAAGTGTCTGATCGATGTATAACACATCAAAATATTGGCGTGTCACAAACTGTTAGCTGACAACCAAGAGGAGATAATCAAATTTAATTCCAAACCCGGAACCGTACACCCCTCATATACCCATTGCCCCTCCGCATGATCGCATCGAGCACCTCCGGACCCCACCATTCACATCTACATTTCACAATGCCATTGACACGGCCGTTGTGACGTAATTGTTGCATAATACATACTCATGTAAACAAATCGATTCAACTGGTCATGAAAGTGAATGGTTACCGTTGCATTTGTATGACATCCGAGACCAAATGACGCCCTCTTGCGAGAAGCAAAATGCACCCAGACGACCTCCTCGCATGGTAGTGTCAATGATATTACGAGAATCAGCTACCAAAACAGCGCCCTCATACAGCTTGATTCTGTAATTATAAAAACAATATTAAAAACATTACTTTGTGATCTACATGTGAGTTTATTTTTCACACTGCAATGTATGTTTAATATTGTGTATTAAGACTTTAGTGGCCTTACATGATATAGCGCCCTCACAGCCATAGGTGACAGGTTGACATATCTTATGTTTATTAATGTGTGCATGTCGTCTGTGCATGCGTTTTTCAGGCTATACTTTTGTATTTTTCACACTGTAAGTTACGCTACCCACTGTAAGTCATGTCACCCACTGTAAGTTACGTTACCCGCCGTAACTTACACACAGTAATTCAAGTTACCCGCTATTAATTATGTAGTCACTGGCAGATATGTTACCCACTGTAAGTTACCTTACCAAATGTAATCTATGTTACGGTAAAATACTTTATTTTCCCTATTTTCGCTGAGGAGGGTGATTCTATGAAAATAAAATCCAGCGAATATACCCTTTCCACACAACTCATCAAACGTCAGTGAAAATAACTCCATACAAAACACCAAAAACTCTTTAGAGTGAAAATTAATTCCAGCTAAAATAAAGTATTTTACAGCACCCATACGCTGTAATTCATGCTATTCACTGTCAGTAATTAAATTTGTATTCAAATTCTAAAGTCAGTGACCAAAGAAAGACTACTAGTATTATCGCCAACGTAATAATATGGGAAGAAGAATGCCACTAAAGTCGCTAAACATATATATATTCTCTTTACACATCTTTGATGCAATTTGTGTTTTCACTTTTAAACCTTTCTGTGAGCGTCTTTGGCGTTTCATGATCAGAATAAGTTGGATTGACCCAGAAAATGCATGCAAAAAAAAACAACGTTCGCATCGCATGATTTCAATGTTATTTTCACTGCATGCTCTACCCTTATAAGCTACCTTTATATGCATCTATGATGTCATTATACGTTAAATGCGATGATACCACCATAGATTCTCTTCGACTATCAATGCCAATTAAGTTTTTGCTACAGAAGTCCCGAAATAACACCATATGTTGGAGATCATAATTTATACCTTATGAGCCCTATTGCCGGTCTATGAATGACATTCCAACGATATGCTACCTTGTCCTTCCAGCCTTCGTTTCGAGGGTCAGTCCACAGCAATGTTACCTGCAAATAGCAAATAGGTACAGTTTTAATATTCCAACTGACTAAGTGCAGTCTCATAATCGGCCTTCACCACGAAAATAGCTAATTGCGCTATAAATAGCTAGCTTATTAATGTAGAAACGAAAAACTGACAATGTTCTTTATTTACATACCTGTCCTTCGGTGTCTCCTGTATTCCAGAGTGAATTTCGGAGAGTTTCGCCGGGGCCAGTTACTGATTTTACTGCCTTATAAGGAAAAGAACAGAACTACGTTTTAATCTTGAGCAGCCTTTATTGCCACACCACTAAGCTGTCACACTATAACACTTAGATGTCATACTATAACACTGGGGTGTCACATTATAACACTGAGCAGTCACACTACAACATTTAGGTGTCACACTACACCACTGAACAGTCACACTACAACATTTAGTTGTCACATTATAACACTGAGGTGTCACACTATAACACTTAGGTGTATCACTACACCACTGAGCAGTCACACTACAACATTTAGGTGTCACATTATAATACTGATGTGTCACACTACACCACTGAGCTTTCACACTACAATATTTAGGCGTCACACTATAACACTGAGGTGTCACTACACCACTGAGCTATCACACTACAACACCTAGGTGTCACACTATAACACCGAGCTGTCACACTACACCACTTAGGTGTCACACTATAACACTGAGGTGTCATGCTATACCACTGCGCTTTCACACTACAACACTTAGGTGTCACACTATAACACTGAGGTGTCATGCTATACAACTGAGCTTTCACACTACAACACTTAGGTGTCACACTATAACACTTAGGTGTCACACTGCATCACTGAGCTTTCACACTACAATATTTAGGTGTCACATTATAACACCGAGCTGTCGCACTACACAACTGAGCTGTCACGCTACAACACTTAGGTGTCACACTATAACACTGAGGTGTCACACTGCACCACTGAGCTTTCAAACTACAACATTAAGGTGTCACACTATGACACTGATGTGTCAAACTACACCACTGAGCTTTCAGACCACAGCACTTAGGTGTCACACTATAACACTTAGGTGTCCCACTATAACACTAAGGTGTCACACTACACCACTGAGCTGTCACACTACACCACTGAGCACTACACTTGAAAGAACACTATACAATTCGCTGAATTCACTAGCGAATTATCCCATCTCGCATACACGGGAAATAAGAACAAAACAGTGCCTTTCACATCTACCTTCAAATGTATACCAGGCTCAGCCACAGAACGGAATGGAGTAGACTTCCAATACGTCTGCTCCTTTTGCTTCCACATGACCACATAGAAGCTCTTGTTGTCTTGGTAACCAAATACAAACCCAGCATAATCATCATCAGTGACTGAATTGACGAAAAATGTGCCATCATAATCGACGCCACCAAAACCAGGATAGGCAATCAGAATTCCGGGGTCACTGTTCACAGTCTCTATAATCTCTCTACCCTGAAATGTATAAGTATCATATGTAAATATAAGGATTTTATGTTCTCTGTTCAAATATAAATAAACACGAAAAAGATAATTACAATTTCAACTAAACTCGTTACAATTATTTATTATCGCATTCATCGGTTTATGGCAGAGTTTTGTCTAACATGACAGTTTTAAACGTGCAGGTAGTCTATGACGCGAATACACTCGACATGTACAGCGTAATTTGAATAAATTACACGTCACCATGACAGCTGCTAAATATTACAGGGTACTCACAACCTAAAAATCTAAATCAGACTTTTATGATAGCGATTCGACTTTGCCAGCAAATCTTACGAGTACGTGTAGTCCGTTCAGTCATAGGTCTTCGATCGGCGTATAGGCAAAATTGCGCCCTCACCGTCGGAAATATATGCCGATCCGAATTTATTGCATTTGATGCAAAGACAAATATTGTCTTTAGTTGATCGGAAAAAACGCTCAAAATAATTCATACGTGAGTTAAGATTTGAGAAAATAAATAAGGTAAAGAAAATAAAATTATGTTCCCACACCGGGAATTGAACCCGGGCCTTGGCGGTGAGAGCGCCAAATCCTAACCACTAGACCATATGGGAAGTCATACTGAATGAGCGAATTTTTACATTCAAATTTATTTAATTAACACCTAGAGTTCCGAGGTAGCTCAAAATGATTGAATATCAGTATGACTCCGCTTGGAGAAGCCGATCCAGAGAAGTGTTGTGTCGTCACAAGGCGTTCTTGTGCCATTCCAGGATAGACCTTAGACAGAGATAATATATGTTCCAGTCACCCAATCATTTGCTCATGTTGTCTCATGCGACAGTCAATTTCCGAAAAACGAAAGCAGACTACTAGTATTTCAAACAAATCAGTCGTCAGTTCAGTGTCGATATTGTGTCATAGTTTCAAATCCCATAATGTACCTATGATTGTACACTTTGCTTTAATCAGATGTTGAAAACAACAAGATTTCACGAAAGGTCCTCGAGTCAAATATCGTGTTCACTTCTATTTTTCTTCACGTAATAACATATGTGAACGCGTTATGTCGGGCGTTAAAGGGGTACACAAACAGATGTGAAAACGCGATCGCACGATCTCCGTAAAAAAATCAACCACACACGGCTTATTTTATTACCCATAAATGAAAATTCCAACAATACTAAAAAAAAGTTTGGTGTCACCAGCCAATTTGAGGGGATCATGATGATTGTATTTTACTGAGTGAATGGCGACCTTTTATAAGTATTATAAAGTTATGAAGACATTACGCCATTTCTTAAAAACAGTTGACTAGTGACGTAGGTTGCAACATTACATATCGTGACTGATGGCGTGCTTTTTGTTAGCTTGAACTATTTTAAAAATCTGAGTTTTAAAAAATGACAACAAAGTGCTATTTTGCTTTTAAAAGTTTGGGTCAATTTTTATAACATTTTCAAAAACAACCATATGTGTTAGTTGTGACTCGGAGACACTTGCTCTCAGGCTGATTGCTCTGATATACACACGGACGTGGAGCGGTATTTTGATCGCATACACATGTCACACGGCTATGAATATATTTTAATACCACACAATCGTTTATCATACATACAAAGCAAGTTTTACGAAAAAAAAAAATTACGAGATCTTTTTTGAAAGAAATTGATTCTCTGGACGCGGGCAAAGTTTGCTTTGTAATGCAAAAAGATTGTGGATATACGACGATCATTAATGGCAAAGAATCTTCAAAATCATCGTTGTTTAATTTCGAGATATTCTGACTTAATCACTGACATCTACGGCGCGTAGTTTTTCATTTGTAAGTTTTTTTTTCAGATTTATTTTGTCGTTGCTCCTGTATATATTATTTTGATTTTGGGGAAAAGGCTATGCAATTCTGTTTTTTATCATTCTGTATGATAGAATATTTTTGCAACACTTGGCGCGCCGTAGACATCGCCCATCTGTGAAATTCTAGGATGACATTTTCCATGATAGATGTAATTGTTCATCTCGTGTCTGCAGCATTGTTTTTTGGTCTGATGTGTTGGACGGCGTGAATTTTATTTTATTTTTACTATATATTTTTATTATTTTGTAATTGTTTTATTGTTACATACGTCTTATTTTGTATTACTAGTACTTTAACTATCGCCACATATGGTCCTTGTAGCCTTTCGCGATTACCAAAACAAATAAATAATAAATTAAAATAAAAGAAAGTAAAAGATAGTGCATGATAAGAATAAATAACTAGAATTAAAAACATATTTAAAAAATAAAGCCCAAACTAGGATCTGATTTGGTTATAATTGGATTGATTGACATCCGTCTTTAAAAAAATGTTATCGGCCCATAAAATATATATAAATAAAATAAATAAATGCCTGAGAACAGCGTTAACATGCTCTTATTTACAAACAAATTACCTGATCATAAATAACCCACTTGGGATCACTCTGGGCATCGCCTTCAGGGTCCAAGATAACGGACTGAAAGGCCCGGAAATCTGTATGAATAATTCTGGGATCTTCTGGGCATGCGTCACGATCGTCATTAACGCCATCGTTGTCAAAGTCTAATTCACACACGTCCCCTCTTCCGTTACCTGTACAACATAAAAAATAGTACTCATTGGCTTAATATTTCAAGAAGAACAAGGAGCACGTAACTATAATTGTTTTATTGAACATCTCGGTCCTCCACAAAGGAATAAATAATATTCAAGCAAGGCATCTAAATTTGACATTCCAATAATGTTTCGTGTTCTCAATGTTCTCAAGATTTAATGTATTATCGATTCTCCCTGTCAAGGGCCAATCACACAAGATAAACTCGATAAATGAGTCACGTGATTACCGTTCGAATCTACTTGGTGTCTGTTTGGTATCAGACGACAGTTGTCTTCATCATCCGTTATACCATCATTGTCATCATCGTTGTCACATGCATCTCCTATGGAACACAACGTAACATATTTAATCACACGAACTTCACAATTTTCCCATATATTGGATAATTTTTAAAATCAAACAATATATGTTTAATATACTGGTCACTATTTTGTATTGGCCAACACAAAAGTAGTGACTTAAATACTATTGCCATTATACTGACTATATGTGTTTCCTGACAGCTGTATACCGGCAGATTTGGGCGTTCATCATGTCGCATATGTATGCAGTTCAACACTGTGTGTTCCCCGTTTCTCGTGAGATCAGTGAAGATGTGCGCATTGAATTATTTTAACCTTTAAAAAGTTGAATAATGCTAATGTTTATCTGAAATGGTAAATATATTACCGTCTTCAAATATATACACGTTTTTTAATTGCAAGTAATAATCTGTGTATATGCAAATGAGATGAAAAGAGATACAATATTTTGACGTAAACACACGAATTACGACGGATGTATATTTTGCTGACGATCGTTTGAGAATTTGATACATATGGTAGAATATCGTCACGTGATATCGACGGAAGTATGAAAAAAATAAAGAAGAGCAAACGGTGTTACTGATGATTTATTTACCCAGCCCGTCACTGTCTGTATCCAGTTGTGATGTGTTTGGTATGTCAGGGCAGTTGTCCAAGTCATCTTGTACTCCGTCTACGTCCCTGCGGAAACAACATACCAAATAAATATTAATAACAAAACTAACACGAAGACTGAAATGACGATGGTCATCGCATGGCGCCGCGTTCGGCGTGGGTCGCATTGTGTCGTTTATTTACACAACTTTCGAATGCAATTTGGTTTCTTCTAACTTGGGGATTAAAATTAGGGACCGCTCTGGCACCCGTTATTTATGCCTCAAATGTGAGCAAGTTAGACTGGCCCAGCTGTGGTGATTTGTTTTCAGTTAAATGATAATAATAATAAAAAAAAAATTGCGAAAGGTGGGGCCAACGCGAAACCACCACGGTTACAGAGGATTTCGCGTTAACACCTCCATTTCGCTATTTTTTTTTTATTTAATTTTAAATTTAAAAATAAATAAATCGCCCAGACTATGCCAGTCTATGGGCAAGTCTAAGGCTTACTCTCCAATGTGAAACCACCTAATGAGTGGAAAGAGAAAGACATGAGTGTTCTCACCTGTCTTTATCAGTGTCACACGCGTCGCCAACAAGATCGTCGTCAGAGTCTATCTGAAATCAAAATACACACTTATTATTATATTTTCTCACATATAATCAAATTGTAACCACGTGTCCAGTAGAACATTAATCGCAACAACGGTATAATAATAAAAGTATTGTAATGTGAATAGACGCCCTCTGGTGCCAGCGTCCAGCAAAGTAACTTCGATTGTTTAATACCTGGTCACTGTTGTATGTTTTCGGACAATTGTCACATTCGTCTCCTACGCCATCACCATCAAAATCATCTTGATCCCAGTTTGGGGTTATCGGGCAGTTATCATTGACATTCAAAATACCTATAAAACAGAACACATAGTGTTAGTAATATATACACAATAATATGTTAGTAAATATGTATGATGCAACACTGGTATCGAACAAAACCAACAACAATGTTGATAATTTATCTAATTAACCGAGCCACAATCACAAAGTGACGATTGACGAATTTATATTACCCCCCCCCCAAAAAAAAGAACGTCCCAATCATATTGCATGCGGATTTAATTCTTACCGTCGTTGTCCTTATCATCATCACATTCATCACCCATCCCATCATTGTCTGAATCTAACTGTAACGGATTGGGAACATCCGGGCAATTATCACATGCATTACCAATAACATCTGTATCATCTTCTGCCTGGTCTGCATTATTCACCAACGGACAGTTATCCTAGAGATAACAGATGGACGGCGAATATTAGAAATAGGAAAACATTGTCCACGTTGAGAGAAGCTGAACGGCAATCATGTACGATGTAGGTTCCATGCGATGTTTACGACGCGTGTTTTTGTTTACACGAAATTCGAATAAAATATCTACATACCGGCCTATTGAGTACGCCATCGCCATCAGCGTCTTCATCGCATATGTTACCAATGCCATCATGATCGGCGTCTTCCTGTCCGCTGTTAGGAATCCATGGACAATTATCCTGCGGATAGAGCACATAGTTTCCAGATTAAATTCGTAAATTCGTTTGAGTATTTACGCTGATACATGGAAGTACGCGCAATAATTTCTCGAATAACTCCTGAAAAATGGCAACAAATTTATTGATATATTTAGCCAAAATGTTTGCCAAACAGAATGTGTTGACAACATCGTATACATTGTATCTTTGTGTTAGAACTATTTTGCATATTTAGTGTGGTAAAAGGTCAGGTATTTTCACGTATATCACGACTCCCCTAATATTCTAACAAGGTATAAATTTAGTGAGTTTCAAGTGGGTCCTACAATTGGCAAACCATGAATGGATCACCCAAGTCGTCCCACTGCATGTTTGTGTTTTTTCCAATTTTCAATACACATTTGTAAAATCTGTGACGTTTGAGAAAATGTTATTTGAAAAAAAAAGATACGATGAACCCTCCAACACTAATATGAGAAATCAAGTCTAATTTATAGACAGGATTGGAAGGATTTGGCCAAACTTCTTCTCGAAAGTTCACGATACCAGATAATTCTTAATATCAACACCGTTTTCAATATCGTATTTTATTTCATAAATTTCACACTTACAGCTTTACAGTTGTCGTCAGCACACTGTAATCCTACATCCGGGTACCCGTCGATATCGGAATCACGTGCACACATATAACCATTGCCAGCCCAGCCAACTTCACACTATTGTAAATTAAGTGAAACATAAATTAATTCATAAATACATGTATGATTAGAAACGAATATTGTATTCAATTTCGGGAAAATATCTGGTTTGATTTAAGCCAACCACAACGTTTGCATCATGATCTCAGAAACAATGTTGACATAAACTAAGATTTGTTATTATTTTCTCAATATTTTAAAACACTGTAAAAATGAAAATATTAAACGTACCACACATGCATATCGCCCTCTACTACGAAGAATACACTGCGCATTGATATCACAGGGACTCGGACTTCCGTCAGGACATATTTGGATTGGTAGACATCCTGCAGACTGATTACCCATATATCCACCCCTACACTGACCGCAGAAAAACGATCCCTGACAAGAAAAAGAAAAGAAAATGTATTATAAAAATAATAACAACTAAGTAACTATGTAAGTATACAAATGAATAAAATAATTTAAAAATATATATATGAAACTCACAATGGTATTTATACATTCCGAGTTGACCACGCACCCACCATTGTCAGTGATACATTCGTCGATGTCCCTACATTCCTATAAATAAATAAATAAATGAATAAATGAATAAATGAATAAATAAATAAATAAATAAATAAATAAATAAATAAATAAATATCACTGTACTCGCTGTGATTCGTGGTATCTAACCTGATGAAGGCGATCTGCATCTTCTAATCCAATACCAGCAATTGGTGGACCGGTATACCCTAGTGGACACTCCGAACAACGGAAGCCTGGATCGAGGTTGATACAGCGGGCTTTGAAGTAACAGGGTGCTGATCTCTCACACTATGGAGGCAATATTACGCATGTGGATATATTAGTCGACAGGCGATTCACAATTTTCATACGACAATTTAAGCATCTATATATATCTAAACATATATGTACGTTAAATACACAAGTTCACACATATATTTCCTCACTCAGTAATTACATAGGACAACATGTTATTTACCTCATTAATATCTTCACATATTTCCTCACTCAGTAATTATATAAGACAACTTGTTATTTACCTCATTGATATCTTCACATATTTCCTTACTCATTAATTATATAGGACAACATGTTATTTACCTCATTAATATCTTCACATATTTCCTTACTCATTAATTATATAGGACAACATGTTATTTACCTCATTAATATCTTCACATATTTCATTACTCATTAATTATATAGGACAACATGTTATTTACCTCATTAATATCTTCACATAATTCCTCACTCATTAATTGGGCTAATCTGCACTGGCTCGGAAGGTTGTAAATGATTAGCTAGTTTGAATTTGCATAACAATACTGACAATGAACGTGCATTCAACGCCACAAGTTTTTTTTGTTTTTTTAGCCAATCAGAATTCATCTTCCGAGCCAGTGCAGATCAGCCGCATTAATTATATAAGACAACATGTTATTTACCTCATTGATATCTTCACATATTTCTCCATCTCCTGACAGACCTATTGGGCACGATCCACAGATATATCCTTGTTCATGGTCAGTGCAATGAACACCTGGGTAACAGGGTATGTCACTGCATGTTTTAAACTTCAATGATTGGTAACCTACAACAACCAATCCAAAACGAGTAACTCAGTGAATTGAAACGTTTGCTGAGAATTATTTATTGTCGCATTTTTGTTGCAAAGTATGTTCACGAACTAATATAACATGGTTAATCGGTTATTTAAATTACATACACGAATACCCAAATGCAGAGTAACATCACGTACCGTTACACATATGGCAACTTGCCAATTCCTGACGTAGCAGCTGGGTTTCTTGTGCCTGAACAAATAATTCGCCATTACATTATATTTATAATATTACTGGTAATCATAAAATCACAGGAGGCACTGACGCCTGTTACTAATTAAATTAAGTGTCATATAATGTGAAATACAAAAATACATATTGAAGTACTAAAACAATCAATTCACAAACTTCAAATCCTGGCTGGTTGGCCATTGAATAGAAGGACTGAATTTATGACCTTCCATGTTAAGTGCTATAATATATGTACATAATTGTCATAATGTATTACTTAAAGTGGGAGGGTCGCCACCTGCGCACGCGTGGGAATTGAGTCCCAAGCGACGATAACAACACACGCTAAAAACGCAAAGGCTCATGAGTAGACGCTTGTTTGTAAACAATAACACGCTATGGCCATCTGACGTATGCTCAGGTGACGACTCCCCCCGCTTTAAAATGTTACAGTTGTCATTTTGTTATTTTGCACGAAGTGATACGATATCTATGCCCCAGTATTGACTCGTTGAATTTAATCAGTTGTGTGTTTAATATTTCGTTGAGCATCATGGGTAATTATTATAATCCAAAACTGTAAAAAAATTCGTTTTACTATAGCAATAAATTGTGTCCATCCTTTTTACATGCATAACGTGTGTATCTCCACTATGTGACGTAATCCATGATAGATCAAAAATGCATATCACATAGTTTGACGTCTGAACTTGTTTTTTCATTGTACGCACTACCTACTCGCTTGCGGTAATTACTCGTGTCTGCTGACGTCAACAATATTACAATATCACTTGGTATAAATTACCACTATCAGAATTAGAGGCTTTTTGTGACGTCATAAATGTAATGCACCCCCTTGGCAACAACAACAATGAATCCCCCACAACGTTATATCGCATTTTGTTTTGTCTACCACATTATCTTGTCTTAGAACTCTTTCTTCATACAATATGACGCCGTGGGAGATTTATTATTGTCTAATTTAAATATATAAGACTTGCCTGTGAACGAGTGACGGACTGCAAAGCCTTTATCTCTGAAGTTAATTTCGTCAGTGCTTGAAGTAGGAGTGTTGTAGAATCTGCAACATCAAATAAGATAACTGTTGGCAAACCAGGATACACACCGGCAGGAGCAGGATGAGCGAAATAGCAAAATAGTTTAGCATCTGAGCCCTGTTTATAGCGAAACGCTGAGACCTATGCACATTGTGTATAGCGAAATGGTGGGGCTTCTGTGTATTGTGTATATATGTATAGGAGTCAATGGGTTACACACGTAAGCTTGTGACTCAGAAACACTTCATATACTCACCTTCTGTTGTTACTGGTGACGTCATCATACATACAATAGATTGAAAGAAAAAAAAG